CAGCCCGAGCTGAGCTGCTCCTGAACTGCCAACAGGTGGCAGGATGGCTCAGCTAAAAATAAATAAATAAATAAATAAAATAAATTTCACGATTTCACCCCTTTTTTGAGGGGGAAAAACAAGAATTAAAAGTAAATGTCTTTCATTATCAAATAATTTTTTTGCCTATTTATGTCAAAGCGAGTTAAAAATGAAAGTCTTTTTAAAATTGGAAACTTAGTTTATTTTAGTTAGGCCCTTTGTCTTTCCATATAGTATGCTCTCTTTAAATACTGGGCCTGAAATTAAGTGGCTTTGGAAGTCATGCCCTTGTTTCTTAGTATAAATTTTTAAAGAATTGGATTTATCCCTTTTTTTCCCTATTGAAAGCAAATGTTAGATCCCTTCATCTAGGTGGGTTTATCACTGAAAATAAAGCTATTTTTGCATAATAGGATTGCCAAATGCATTATAGCCTGAAGGAATCTTTTGCTTTGCTTGTTACCATTAATTTTCTTAACTTGTCAAAGTTAGGATTTTAAAAATTTCAGATGACTGATCATGTTTTAAAAAATTTCAGATGACTGACCCAGTCACGTTAAATGTAGGTGGACACTTGTATACAACGTCTCTCACCACATTGACGCGGTACCCAGATTCCATGCTTGGAGCTATGTTTGGGGGGGACTTCCCCACAGCTCGAGACCCTCAAGGCAATTACTTTATTGATCGAGATGGACCTCTTTTCCGATATGTCCTCAACTTCTTAAGAACTTCAGAGTTGACCTTACCCCTGGATTTTAAGGAATTTGATCTGCTTCGGAAAGAAGCAGATTTTTATCAGATTGAGCCTTTGATTCAGTGTCTCAATGACCCTAAGCCTTTATATCCTATGGATACTTTTGAAGAAGTTGTGGAGTTATCTAGTACCCGGAAGCTTTCTAAGTACTCCAATCCAGTAGCTGTCATCATAACCCAATTAACCATCACCACCAAGGTCCATTCCTTACTAGAAGGTATCTCAAACTATTTCACAAAGTGGAATAAGCACATGATGGACACCAGAGACTGCCAGGTTTCCTTCACTTTCGGACCCTGTGATTATCACCAGGAAGTTTCCCTTCGGGTCCACCTGATGGAATACATTACAAAGCAAGGCTTCACGATCCGCAACACCCGAGTACATCACATGAGTGAGCGGGCCAACGAGAACACAGTGGAGCACAACTGGACTTTCTGTCGGCTGGCCCGGAAGACAGATGACTGATCGCCAACTCTGGGACAAGAGCCTGGAAACGGGCTCTCCAGGAGGTAGCAGAGACTGATTTCTTGTTTTTCCTAAATAACAGTGTGGAATTTTTTTTTTTTAATTTGTATTTATTTGAAGGCACTGAGGACCAGAAGGAAGTTTTGTGCTTTTGCAGACTCTTCCGTTTGTTCCCTTCACCCCAAGTATGCATGTGCCTGTTCAGAGCCTCCAGATACCTTTTTTATAAAAAGAAGTCTGAAAATCATTATGGTATATAATCTGTCCCTAACAGAGTTTTTTTTATTACAGTGCTAAAATTTCTGATTAAATGGTCCCTAACTCAGCTAGAAGGCTAAAAATGCAGGAATGAAAGAATAAACAGAGCACTCATGATGCCTTTGAGAAAAATCAAAACATCATGTAGGGTGACCTAGTTTCCAAACCAATAACCAGTATTGTAATGTTAAAACTGTTCCAATCATTTAAAAGTACTTGTTAAGTACTGCTTTTTACAGTTATGACAACTGTTTCTTTCTATGCATATAAATCAAGCAACCAAATATCTGTAGCCATGGAAATGTCTGACTAGAAATATTTATATTGGATCCTGAATACAAAATCTCCCTGTGGTAGAAATCTTACTTCTTATGCCTGGTGCAGTATAATTCCCAAGTGTACTGTCTACCAGAAGAGAAAAAAAAACTAATAAAAAATGAAATACAAAAATTAGGTTTGTATTTATTGACTATTGTTACTTATGGGGGGAAACTCTATTCCTCGTCTAAAGTATGCATTGTTTTATGAACCAGTATGTACTGCCTGTAGCACACTTGTATTTGATTCAAGAGGATTCAGTGGCACCTTAGGATGCAGTTTATAGAGCTCGACTGTGTTTTTAAAGCAGGAATAGATGGGATTATTAATTTTGTCTAAAACAGTGCCGTTTGAACAGTGAACATACAGTTTGAAAAAGTTTTCAAATAGGACATATGTTGAAAGTTACAGATTTTCCTTCAATAATCTACCAATTGTCATAGTTGTGAATATGACCCTTAGCCTTGTGTTGAGCACAGGGACAATTGGACTCTTCAGCCACTTTCTTATCATATATTATAGTGACCCACAAATGTGTTTTATTGTTAAAGATAAGGTTATTTCTGAGAAGAAATAAACTGTAGTAAATGGAGGATCTGGAACAGTTGGAGATACGTGTACTTTTATTTGTTTCACGGTAGTCTTATTTTAGAAAGCTCATTTGATTATTCTGTTTCTTGGAAATTACTCAAAGGAAGGATTATGTTAAGTAGAGTGAGACATCCTAGTTTGCTAGAACACCTTATAAACGGAAGTCTCTAATTTCTTCCCTGGTCCATGGGTGGAGCTCTCCTGGCCGCGTGCTCTAGGGCAGGTTGCTCCTTTTTTCCCCTGTGAGAAGATTGAATCTGTCTCTGAAACGGAGGATGAGAACTTCATCCATTTTTGACCATGTCTCTCTGAAAATTTATTTTAAGATTTGACAAGTGACCAACATTCAGAAATTTCCCCATTTTCACCATCTTCAAACTAAAATTCCTTAATGTTATTGGCAGATTGCTGTGGTTTCAGTAAGTATACTATGAGATTATCTTTTTAGAAAATTGTCTCCTACTTCAAATTGATTAGTGGTCATCTAAGAAAACACCAGCCCAGCCACTTATGTGTTAAGTTAGCTGAGGTGAATGTGAGATAAAATGATTTGGTTTGAACACACGTATGGAAACAGGAATAGTTTTAGCTCTTCCAAGGTTTAAAAGTTTAAAACTTAAGAGGTCTCTTCCATGGTCAGTTTACTGGAGATAAGTTTGCTTTTGGTAAATTTTCTAGATTTATTATTAACAGCTAAATGATTAAATGAGTAAATGAGGAAAAGTAGCCAGCTGAGATACTTTGCAGTTTAATTTGGTGGCATTTAATTTTGAGTGTTTTATATACTTAAGCAACTAAAAATGATTTAAAAGTGTAGCTTGATTATATTTGGGTAATTTGAGACAATTATGTCTTTTATGAAATTGAACAATTTTCTGCGGAAGAGTTGATTTAAAAAATTGATAGATAGTTGCATTCTCACCAAAGGCACTTTTGGAGGATTGTATGTGCGCACCCGTGTTTGTCCTTTTAAACCTTCAGATAAATGTGTGCTGTAGACACAAGTGATAACTAATGAGTTTATTGGCTTTTGCTAGATCTAAAGCAAAATCCTGGCATTTAACAAAATAGATGCTACAAATCAATAGTGCTACTGTGTTTTATTGTGGGAAATTTCAAACATATTCATAAGAGAATAGTGTCAACACCCATGTACCCATGTACCAACATCAACAACTTTTCACTCCCCCGTTTTCCTCCCATGGATCATTTTATAGTAAATCACAGGTATTTCGTTCACTTCAGACTGTGTCTCTAAAAGATAATAACTCTTTCAAAAATACATACATATGCACTTTAAAGTTTTAATGATGTATATGCCATACGGGCATTGTCGCATAGCAGTGCCTCTTGAATGCTGTTGATTATTTCATAGCTTGGCTCTCCAGCTTTGTAATAGTGGTCTTATATATTTCTCATAGGCAGGGTTCCCCTGTGTGTAGAAAGAAGTGCATTATTAAGACAGTGTTTCTGCCAGGATTAATGACTTTTACATTCAAATTAAATTTTTAGTTTCAAAAATTAACATTATATAAGATTCTTAATTTTTAAAATTATTTTTAAAATTCACTTTGTGTGAACATATGGAGAAACATTTTTTCCAAAGGGCATCCTTTGTTTGCTCATGCAGATTTTAAATTGTGGATGCAGGTGGCCAATTAAAAAACACAGTTATCATTTGCTTTTGAAATTTAATACAAATAAAAGGCTTGATTCTTTGAGGCTCTTTGAAGTTGGACGGAAGGAGTCAGAAGGTGGAATCAGGTAAACAGTCTTCTGTCAGAATAGATTATCCCCATTATTTTTTACTGTAGTGTCTTGATTTGTTCCTTCACAGCTCTAGCCTCATCTTTTATATTTACTTGTTTAATTACTTTTTTGNAATACCTCTTATTATGTACTGAAAATATTTTTTCCAAGTCATTTTAGTTGGGGAGGGGCTTAAAAGGTTTTCTTTCTTAGGTAGTCAGATCTCTCCATCTTTTCGTGATGGTGTCTGTGTTTGGCCAGGACCTTTTTTATTCCCAAACCCTGGTATGTTTGGACATTTCTGACACACAGTAGGTGACTGACAATATTTGTTGAGTGACAGAACGGATGAGTACTTGGTCTTATCCTTGTTCCCTGGAGCCTACTAGATCGAATAAACTAATTCGGTCCCTTGATATAGTCATCCTTTTGAAAATTCTTTTTAGATTGTGGGATGTTTGAAACATATTGCTTTATTTATTGGTATATTTATATATAAATATACCGGTACATTTGTGATATTTACATTCATGGCATATTCTTTGTATTGCAAATCAATAAGAACCTAAAGAATAAAAAAATTCATTGTACTGGCCAGAGAGGTGATGTCCTACTAGCTTGACCAGGATGGGGAAGTGCTTGCTAGTGGTCCATGCCTGATGGATGTGACTTCCCCTTCTCTCTGCCCATAGTGGCAGGAGCTGAGAAGACTGAGAAGGTTGGGGAAGGGGGTGGTTTTTGGAAGAGTATCCAGGAATTGCCCATGCAATCCCAAAGGTCCGAGTGTGGGAAGGACCTGCCCCCAGGTGGGATGGTTGATTTCTCAGTTCTGACTCACCTGACTGCCACATGTGCCCAGGCTCTGGTATAGACTTCTGGGTGAAGGAAGTCAGCTGCCCTCCGGGCTGGGCACCTGGCCAGGTCAGGTGCGGTCAGGTATGCAACAGACTGAGGGAGAGACCTCTGCGATGTGGAGCCTGGGGATGCCTGAGACTGCAGGTAGCTCTTTACCAAAAACCTAGGGGGTTGGCGGAGGCAGGTGAGAGGATAGGACAGCCAAGCACCCCTCTCTTCCAGAGACATGCACTCTGTGTCCCCTGTGGAGAACCAGGGCCACACAAGTTCTGGCCCAGCCCCTCCTGATGGCTGCTTCTTGCTCCAGGACCCCTCAGTGTGCCCTGAGGCTGTACTTCCCTCACAGTGAAACAGCTGGAGCCCTGGAGCTGGGCAGACACTCACATTCAGAACATAAACCCTTTTGATATCTGAGCAAACAGAATCTTCTCTGTTGGTTTGGGATTTATGATGAATTGTATAGCGACTGTGGAAATTAAATTTTTCTTAGCTGAATAAAGAAGGATAGATGTAAGAATGCGAACAGGAGTGGGAGGATCACAGGTGACTCTTAGCTTCTTTCTTATGATGATCCAGTGATGATAGGTTCTGGGCTCAGACAGCCTTGGATCCCCATGCAGCTCTCCTGAGCCCTAGGTGATGCTGTAGAAGTTGCTTCACTCCCCCCAGCCTTAGTTTGTCCATCTCTAGATGGGGATAATACTTGCCTGACAGGGGACTTGTGAAAACGGAATGAGATATTATCTGTAGAGTGCTCCACACTGTGGGGCACAGAACGTCTAATACATGATACTGTATTCCTTTTGTAATTAAAAAAAAACAAACCCAATAAATGTTATATATTTTAAAAATTCCAAGAAATGTTATATAGCTTATTCGCCAGTAAACCTTTCCTTTCTGCATGGCAAAGTGTTTATCCTGTTTAGTCACCTGAGGATAGATGCACGTGAAAGTCTGTCAGAGACCCTAGACCCATCCAGGTAGAGATGAAAAGAAACCTCCTGTTGGGAGGAGGCTGACTCATTCCTTCCTGCCTCCCAGGTTCCAGCCTCCTGTGTGCAGCCCCTGCGCTAAGCCTGGGTCACTGCGGGGGAGTGAGGCAGGTGTCCCTGTTGCCCTCCAGGAGCTCCACGTCACACACCCAAAAAGACACTTTCAGACTGTGATAGCTGCTTCACGGAAACAGGACAGTGTTGACTGGAGGGTCGGGGTCCTACTACTCTAGATGCAGTGTCAGGGAGGGCATCTGAAGGAGGCATCATGTTAGTAGAGATCTGAAGGATGAGAAGGACCAGCCCTACAACAATAAATTGGGGACAGAGTTTTAGGGGGAGGCAGAGGCGTGCGGAGGCCCCATGGTGGGGAGGAGGAAATGTGTGGCTGGCAGAGTGAGCAGAGGCAGGAGGCTGTGAGAGCAGGATGGAGAGGGGGACAGGTCAGGTCTTCAGGACCTTGGAGGCCACAGTGTGGAATGTGGCATTTTCCTATGAGCAGTGGGAAGCCCCTGAAGGATTTTAAGCAAGGGAAGTGTGATCTTCTCTAGGCTGGCTGCCAGGGGAGAAAGGACTGAAGTAGGTAGAAGCAGGAGACCAGGACTGATGCTATTGTACAGGTGATGGGACGATGGCCTGCTGGGAGCTGCAACGAGTCTGGGGAGAAGTGGATGGATTAGAGACATATTGTGGGAGTTGGACAGTCCCCAAACGGCACCCCCCAAAGTCTGTGCCCTCTGTGGGCATCAGACAGATATTCTAACCCAAACAGAAGCACCCAGGGGTCAGGCAGAGAAGGCCTGGGGCCAGCCGCAGTCTTACCTGGCCATCTGCAGGTAGAGCACAGTGTTCTCACCCTCGTAGGTGCAGGAGGCTGTCACTCTGGTGACCAATGATGGCAGGCCGCTCAGCTTTGAGTAGCCGTGTCCACCGCAGGCCCTGCGACACAGCTCAGCTCCCTGGGTGCAGAAGTCTGATACCATGGCCTTCACCCCTGAGCTCAGTGCATGAAGCTGCAAGAACGGGAAGGGCGTTAGGCGGTGTAAGGGGGCCCTCCAGTAACAAGCATGTGTACCACTCACTGAGTGTAACTCTGTGAAACAAGAATTGTTTCCTCAGTTCATAACTTTATGAATAAGAAGACTGAGACTCAGAGAGGTTATGTGACTTGCCCAAGGTCACACAATGAGGCAACGTGACTATGGACAATAAGAATACAGGAAGACCCTCCAGGCCGGTCTCAGGGTCTTGGGAACTGGGTGCTTCCTGGATGGGATTCACTGTCATCCAGGAGCCGTGGACCTTGCTGGCCGGCAGAGGTTTGGGAGAGCTGGCCTATGAGCACGTGAGTCCACCGTCAGCCCACTGTCCTGGGCTGGAAGCCGGGCTGCCAGACAGCAGACCTGGCTTGAGTTTGGGTTCTTAGAAGCTCCTAGCCATCTGCAGGTTTCATGTCGTGGGGGGAGGGTCGTGTCTGCTAACTGCTCTGCACTTCACTTTCCCTCACCTGTAAACTGGGGATGGGAATGGTACCTGCTGTGCAGCAAAGGGGCCTGGAGAGACCAGACAGAATCCTTAGTGTCCATGTAATTCCCCAGCCCTCCATCTCAACCCCTGGGGGCCAGATGTGTGTCAGAATCTGAATGTTTTTTGAATTTTAGAAAGGTAAAGTGGGACATTTAAGGTATATTGTATAGAATACCCTGAGAGGAGTCTGGGCAACCTTAGTGATCAAACACATGAATGTTTGTACTGCGAAAGGTACACTCAGTGGGATAAGTCAGGTCAGTTCAGGTCAAACTGTGCCTCCAAATGAGTTCTAAACAACTTTTGGTTTTCAGAGCTTTTTGGGTTTCAAATAGGCATCAAGGATTGTACATCTGTGTTCTATGTACTATGCGTGACTACTTCCTCTACCATTGTTGGAGCTTTCTGGGGGCCACATGGAGTGGATTTCCATGTCGGGGTACAGAGTTCTCCCTAGGTGCCCTGAGATGTTGGAAGGCTGGGGAAGGGAAAGTGGAAGGGGCCCATGGGAGCTGGACTGGGCAGAAAATGCCAGGTCAGTCCCAGCTCCTGCCCACCCGCCCGCAGACAGCAGGTACCTCAGGCAGGAGGCTGAAGTCTCTGTTCAGAATGGCATTGTAGGAGTGATGGAAGAATTCCAAGAGGTTGGTCGCCAGGAAATGGAATGCATAGGCCATGGCCAGCTGAGGTAAAAGCTTCTGCTGCTGTGTCTGGTAGTCTAGGATTTTTGCCTCCGGGTCACTGCGGGGAAGAAAAGTGGAAGGTTTAGAAGATTGCTACGGCCATATCTACCTTCCCATGTCTCGAATGCCATGAAGCCTTACAAACTGACAGTTTTTATATCTCATTACAAAACTTGACCCCAACTGACATGGGCAATAACCATCTTTTAAAATCCCACCTAACATGAATATCCTCTCATTTCACTGCAGAAATATAGATATTTGCTTATGGGTGCTGCCCCTTGTGGGCAAGGTTTACAAAATACAGCATATGCACCATACCATCCTGCTAAAATCTGCAAAGTTCTGAGTCCTAACATATCTGGTCCCAAGGATTGTGGGTGCGGGGTTGTGGTCCTGCACCCGATGATTTGAACCTTGACCTTTCACTACCCAGGTGCACTTGCTGTGTGCTGGGAAGCATGTTGAGCCTAATCATTAACTCGGGCTGTGAACTTGGGTCCGATGGAGTCCCAAGGTGGGGACTGTGTCTACCTTCTCCGTGACTGTGTCCTCAGTGCCTGACACTGTGTCCACCATGCAGGGCCTGCAGTAAAAGCTGTGAGAGTGAGACACCTCCATGGCTGATGGGAAGAAACCTGGCGTTTCTTCTTTGGGCCAGCATGTCCCTCGCCTGGACATGTACAATACTACTATAACTATCCTTGGGACATTTCTGCAGCCCAGAAAACGGAGCCCCACACAGGACACCATCGACAGCACCTTCCCAGTGCCCCTGTTCTCCAGAGCATACAGCCTCAGTCTGGAATTCTGAGGCCCAGGCTGGCTGAGGGTGCCTAGGGTTTCCAGAGGAAAGGACCCTGGGCTAAGGGCTGGTTACACTTTATTGCGCTTCACCCTCAACACCACCCTGGAAGACCATTCCTGTCATGCCCATCTTGTAGATGAGGAAGCTGAGGGACAAAGATGTGGGACGACTAGCCTAAGCTCCCATAGCGAGCAGGTGGCTGAGCTGAGTGGCCCTAGATCTGCCTGGCATCCAACCCTCTGTCCGTTTTGCATTAGACTCCTGGATCCTTGAGCCCAGGGCATGAAGCACCAGCAGATGATTGGTCTGGATGTTCTCAAGGTCCAGTCCTTTTGATGTCACTCTTCATTTTACAAGTGAGAAAACCGAGACCCAGAGAAAGCAAAGGACTTGCCCAGGGTCACATAGCAGAATTAGGACAAGACTGCCAAGTAGAAGCCCGTCTCTGAGCACCATGAGTTCAGTCAATTTTGTTGGTCCAGCCCTACCCCTCTCTTCTTTTGCTCACATTGGCAACCACATGCCCAGGCTCCATTTTGCTGCATCCTGGGTGTGTCCATTTGGGACATCGTTATTCTAAAAAATTGATGTGTTGTTTACCTGAAATTCAAATTTAACTGGCAGACCTATATTTTGCTGAATTTGGCAACTCTGTCTGTGTACGTGTGCCCGTGCATGCACATGTATACAATACACATTAAAACAGAGGGTCCAGTCAACCCTTGGTATTTGGTGCCATGGAGCAGAGGGAGTGTCAGTCAGACACAACCATGTATGACAAAATGGATCCAAACTTGGACATACCACAGCTGGGTGTTGACATTCACAGCCAGACAGAACCAATTTCAGCCTTACAGAGTCTGATGTGACAGATGGGCTTTGTCAGACACAATTACTTATGCCCTGACAGAACAAACTCAGGAGCCACAGTCACCTGCAGCTTGGCAAGTGGCTGACCCAGACATAGCTGTACAGGACCTAGTTGGACTCAGATAGACAAACTGAGTCAGGTCTGGTGGCATAGGGCCAAAGACACATGATCACACAGAGCCCAAAGAGGCCAGACACTGACAGACATAGGTCGGGCCAGCTGATTAGCCGCAGTTAGAGGGAGCCAGGCAGAGACCCCATAGACGTGGCCAGATGGGCCAGGGCCGGGTAGACGCGTATGCATGGAGGAGTAATACATGCGCCAGCACCCTGCTCTGGCAGAAAGACCCTGTTAGAGGCAGGCACTGTGGGACCGAGAGGTAGTCGTGTCTGCAGGGGGCACTTCTGGGCACCCCTCACCCGGGCCGGAGCTGGGATTGGCGGCGTATGACTGAGTAGCGAATGGCGATGACGCAAGCCTTCTGCAGCAGCGGTATGATCTCGCCCAACAGCAGCTCCACCCGTGTCACCACCATGGAAAGGTAGTTGCTCTGTGCTGTTCCGAGCTTGATGTAGGTGCCATCTGGCAAGACCTGGTAGACCAAGGACAGGTGCTGGGTCTGAGCCAAGGCTCCCCAGTCTACCTTATACTCAGAACCATGGGCCTCCATCCCCTGAGGGTACCACAGTTCTCAAACTGTTTACCTGGAGTAGACACAGCCTGCCATCAGCCCAAATGTGCTTGTATGGCCGTGCTGATGGTTAAAACTGAAACATCTGTGCTTGTCACTAATTAGCCACTGCCTCAAGTGCCCTGTTTCACAGCTCTTTTCCTGGGACACCCTGGACCTTCTCACAATCCATAGCCAAAGGTAATGCCTGGCAAAATGTGAAACTCCAGAACTTTCTCCAGCACTTGGCTGGTGTCTGTTCAGTGATTGGTTGTGTCCAGGCCTCACTGTAGGTGAATATGCATGTCATCCTTAGCCCCACCCCTTTTCTCTTCAGATTGCCGTGCCATCCCATCCCATTCCATGATTGCTCTGTTACCCACCCCATGAGGTGAGCATTCACCTGTGGGAACTCTGAGGTTCAGAGAGGCAAAGTAACTTGCTCAAGATAACACAGCTGCTAAGCTGAGGCTTTACCCAGGTCTGTGGGACACCAGAGTGTCTCTGGGGGAGAACTGTCTCAAACTCAGCCCTATGGAGGAGGACCCAGAGCCAGCAGCAGCCTGTGAGGGGGCCAATGTCTCCTCTCTAGGCAGTACAGGCCTGTAACCTCCCCAGAAGCCCCCACCTGTGCAAAGCGACTCAGCATGTTCTCCCTGGGGACCCGCACGTGGTCCAGCCGCAGGAAGCCGTTGTCCGTTTGCTCAAAGCCCATCTTGGGCCCAATGTCTCCAACGGTGATTCCTAGGAGGTGGAGTTGGGAATGTTCATCAGTTAAGTGCTTGCTGTACCCCCCCCCCCAACATACATGCCAGGTCCTCTGAGCCTCACAACAGCCTATGACACTGAGGTCACCTGTTCTGCAGGTGACCAAGCTGAGGTCAGGCAGGAGCCGAGTCTCGCTCAAGATCACTCAGCTAGTTGGCTCCAGGTCTGTCCAACAAGACACCCCCAACTTCTCTGCCTCCCTCTCCCCTGGCCCGAGGGTGACATGTCCCAGCTTTTCCCATGGACCTCTGGGGCCCCAGGACAATGAAATCTGGTGTGTGGGGGGGTCTTCTCCTGGCAGGGGTCCTGAAGGGAACAGCATGGGCTTACCTGGCAGAGGGGTGTGGTCCTGGAGGCTCCGGATGGGCACAATGAAGGCATGCATGCCCCGCCGGGCTCCCGAGCAGATCAGCTGGGCCTGGACCAGGGCATGGGTGGCTGACCGTCCCACTGAGGGCAGAGAGACGAGAGGCCCCGTGTGATCCTGGTATATGAGGCCCTGGTGTACAGAGCAGACAGGCTAACCTCATCAGGACCCTGGATGTGAGCCCGTCTGTAACAGGTGAAGAGGACTGGTATGGTGGCCTGGGGAAGAGCAGGGCACTTGGAGGCTGTTGGGAGTTGGTTTCATCTGCCTCAGAGGATGTGGGTCAGGAGGATCACAGGGAGCCTGGAGGGCAAGGGGCATTTTTCAGGGAAGCCACATGGGAAGGGCGTGCAAGGCAGAGGGAACAGTGTGCTCAGCAGCTGAGGACTGGATCAGCTTGGTGGAGCTGGGCAGTGGAGGAGGTGGCATCCAGGACACAAAGGGACGCTTGTTCAAGGTACCCCTCAGCTCACATGGCCTTGACTCATCCTTGGAAATGACTGGAACCGTCCACAGAACTTTAACGTGAGTGTCTGGCTCTAGAATACACTGGGTTGGAGGGATTTATGGAGAGGCGTTTGGTGGCTGCAGGTGCAGGGGGTTCTGTCTAAACATCAGGTTTGTGTACAAACCACCCTACAATTACACAGGCAGGACCCCCGTGGGTTAGGGAGGCTCCACAAAGCTGATGGAGAGTCTTAGGGAACCAAAGCTGTCCACACCCTCTGTGCTGTCTCTTCCAAAGGCAAGCTTGACAACAGCTATGGATTTTAATGAAAACAGCACAAATGGGACAATCTGGGAAAGCTTAGCATCTATTAAAATTTGGTTCTACAACAGTCTCCTGAAGTGTGTGCCCTTGAGTCATTTTCTTTGGAATCAAGGAGACAGGATCTTGACGTCAGAGCTGCTGGGGTGTGTATGTCAGGATGCATGGCCAGAATACTGGTCCTGGGCCACAGGGAGACGTGTGCAGCGCTTCCCCCACCCCAGCTGATGGGCACTTTTGAAAAGTCACTTTTCACAGAGAGGGGAACTGCTGCCCCCCAAAGAGCCAAATAAATCTAGCATTGGCGTGCGAGAGGCCCTGTGGGATGAGCAAGCTTTTTGTTTTTTCTGTCCTCAAAAACCTATTACTAAATCACCTAACTATAATAAACACAGATAATTGCCATTTATCAAACTCCAGGTGGCACTGGACCCTGTGGTGGGGCTTCCCAGTTCTTCCAGGGCGGGTATGATGAGCCCCACTTTCAGATACAGAAACTGAGGCTGAGAGCAGGGTAACCAGCCACTCAAGGTTACTGGCCTGGAGGGGCAGAGCTGGCATTTGAACTGATTTCAGAGGCTGGTTACTCTTCTCTGCAGTTTTGACAGCAGTCATTCATTCTCTCTCTGCCTTCTCCCTCTCTGTCTTTCTTCCCCTCTCTGCTAGTCTCTCACCTCTCCCCGTCTCTCTCTGCTTTAGTTGGACTTCTCACATTCGTTGTATACTTTTTGCTATATAAACTTTCATCAAATGGGTCCCCAAGTTTACACAGATGTGTCCTAGGAGGTGTATTCTCAAATCGTGGGAAGAGGGCCTTGGCAGAACCCCCTCTTTGGGGTGTGGCCAATCACGGAGCCTCAGGGAAGCATGGTGCTGTCGCCACCTGGTGGCCACGGGGAGGTGCTGGTGGCCTGGTTGACGTTGGTGGTGGGTGTGAGCCTTTGAGGCGCTGGAGCAGGGCTGTGGGGATGTTTTTCTCACTGTGTAACCCCAGGGCCCTGTGCTTTGGCTGGTGGCAAGCTTTCGGAGATGAGGGGACCTGGGATTGGGGGGAGTGCCTGAAACTAGGCCAACTCTGTGTGTGTGTGTGTGTGTGTGTGTGTGTGTGTGTGTGTGTGTGTGTCTGTGGACACAGTGTGTGAGAGGCCTTGGCCCTCAACCACCAAAGGTTGGGTCGATTTCCTCAGTACTTCAAAGTTCCTGCGGGGGCCTTTCAGCCACTCACTGTTGAAACTCTTCATATCCCACCCATTTTACAGAGTAAGAACCTGAGGCTCCAAGAGGTGAATTGACTTTCCCAAGGTCACTAGCCTAGAGCAGGGAATCAATCTGAGGTGTGCTGGACATCAAAGCCAGTGATATCCTGCTATTCCACTTGGTTCTTGGGGACAGATGGGGCTGGGCGACAGATGGATACTCACGGTCACCCGGCCACCATTTGATGGCAGTTATCTTGGGGCTGTGCAGCACAAACTCCTGCGTGTCTGCATCATAGGTGGCTTCAGTCTCCAGGCCCTGAAGATATGTCCCTTGGAATCAAGGAAGGGAGTTAGACATGGGCCCAGGGTGGGATTGTCACCTGGGGAGCTGTGTCCAGGCAGGCCTGGAACTCTCAGGCACCAGCGAGTATGCATGGGGGTATCTCCCAGCTGTACTCACAGGCACTTCCTTTTACCCACAGGCTGTGGGGAGACACAGGGCCAGCCCATGGCAAGGGATGGCTACTGACGTTTCCAGAAGGAATGACTTACCTTACCCCACAGCTAGTGTATACATTTGTATAAATTAGAAAAAGACAGCACTCTTTCTTCCAGACCCTTGACTGCCACCTGCTGTAACACTTTCATATTAAATATACAAATCTATGACTATGGAGACACGAAGGGGCCCCTGGAACGGTGCAGTAGGCTGTACACGCCTGCAGCAGGCCTGGCTCACCGTGTCCCAGTTCTGTCTGGGCGTATGTCGCGATGATCTGGAACGTGTTGCAGAGTGGGGCCCATTTGGCAATCTGCTCCTCCGAGCCCAGGCTCCTGAGGGCTTTCAGGAAGATGTGTTGTAAACCTAAGGCCAGGTCTCCAGAAAAGATTCTGTGGGGGACAGACGCTGTGATTGAGCAGCCCGGGGGAAATGGGCCCAGGAACCCTCAGCATGAGCAGGGTGCAGGAGGAGGGAAGGGGCAGCTCGCGTCCTGGTTTCCCAACAAGGGCTGCCGTTGTTGGGGAAAATAGTCCATGGGGCTGGGGGTTCTGGGTGATCCCCGGTGAATCCCTCTCTGGTGGGGCTACCCTGGGAGTGAGCACCTGGCAGCATAGTATAATTCACGACTGTCTTCCAACCAGCCCAGGCGCTGTGCTATCATCTGGATGTGGAATTTCTTCTGAACGCTGGCCTCGTAACGTTCATTCTGGCTCATGAAATAATTATCCTTCAGGCTAAACACGGGGTCACTGTGGATGATGCTCTCTGCCAGAAATAGAACAGTGGGCTTAGGGACCTGCGTGAGGTTCCTGGAGCCTTCATATCTTCCCACCCACTTGCCTCATGGATGTGGCAAGGAAGTCAGACATTACTAACATCTTACAGATGAGATGACCGAGGCCTAACGGTGGGAAAGTGCTTGCCCAAGGTTGCAAAGCTGTGCAGTAACAGTGTAAGGACCAGCATCCAGGTCTTTTGCTGCCTAGGACTCTTTTATCCCTCAGATAGGCTCAGGGAATATTGATGTGTTAAAGATGCCCTATGGTTCAAAGGAATGAATCTGTCATAGTTGAGTTTTGAGAGCAAACTTTGTTGTTCGAAAGTGGGACTGCTGTTGAAGGACTCTTCTTCCAAGAAAAGACGGTGGGCACGGAGCAGATGTTCCACTCCTCAGCCTCCTCTTACCGACTTTCCTCCGGACTGCAGTGTTCTGGGCACCTCCATCAAGGATGTTGGTGAGCCGCTCCACATCAAAGGACCGCGTGGACCTCTCGCTCCCTATGTCAGGGTGCACTCGCCTGCTCCAGGGGTCCCCCATCGACACTCGGTGCACTGGGCTGCCCATCCTAGCCTGGATCGGCCTGGAGTCTGAGGAGAGAGAGAGTAGTTTCCCATTATTTGTGGTTTTGGTTTCCATGGTTTTAGCTACCCACGGTCAACTGTGGTCTGAAAGTATTATATGGAGGATTCCAGAAATAAACAATTCATAAGTTTTAAATTGCGCAGCATTCTGAGGAGCATAATGAAATCCCTCGAATCCGCTCTGTCCCATCCAGGACGTGGCTCATCCCTTTGTCCAGCGTCTCCACGCTGTGGACGCCACCGCCCATTAGTCACTTGGTAGCTGTCTCGGCTCTCAGATTGATAGTGCTTGTGTTGAGGCCGCCCTTATTTTACTTAATAATGTCCCCAGAGTGGTGATGCTGGCAATTTGGACACGCCAAAGAGAAGGCATCAAGTGCTTCCTTTAAGTGATAAGGTGAATAAAGTACAATAAGATATTTTGAGAGAGACCACATTCACATTACGTTTATTACAGTGCATTGTTATAATTGTTCTATTTTATTATTAGTTATTGTTGTTCATCTCTTACCGTGCCTAATTTATAAATTAAATTTTGTCTTAGGTATATATGTATAGGGAAAAACATAGTATATAGAGGATTTGGTACTATCGAAGGTTTCAGGCATCCATGGGGGGCGCGGTGTCTTGGAACAGATCGTGGGAGGGGGGGGCGAACTTCTGACCTAGATGCTCTGAGCCATAGGCAGTGCTAAGAACCCGTGTGCAGGAGGAAATGCCCAGGGCTGAGCAGTGTCTAGGCAGGCCTGGAACTCTCAGGCACCCCTACTGCGGGGCGATCTGTGGAGGAAAGCAACTCCTCTCAAATTCTTGAGTGCCACTCCACCCCCGCGCTCCTCCCTGTGGGCACATGGCTGTGTACTAGGCTTTGTCTAGGTGTTGTATGCAAGAATTGCTCAGTAAATGGAAGTTCAGTATGTGTTCGCCAAGATTTGGACAGGATCTGATTACGAAGCTCATGCTCTGTCCACTGCAGCTTGTGTTGCAAGCATTGCCTGGGGGAATCCTCACAAAAAGCCAATGAAGCTCACACAAGAAGAAAATGAATCTTAGAAAGATTGGCGTGTGGCTTCTAGCTGCACAGGAGTGGGATGGGGTCTGATCACAAAGCCCATGCTCTGTCCACGCTATAGCCCCGCCATGGGGACTCACTGTGGGGATCTGTGGTCCCATTCATTTGGTCCCCTAAGTCCTGGGCTCATTCGACCCATTTCTGTGAGCCTGGAAGGGATACTGTGGAGCTGAGGGGAGGAAGCCTGCTCCTTGCCTGTGAAGTGTTCCTCCTAGAAGCCCTGTGTGTTCCTCGTAGCCAAGGTGGATCCTGTATCCTTCACAGCAAACCCTCAGCCTCTTAGAAGCCCCTGTTCCCCCACAGGGCAACCACCAGGTACAGTCTGTTCTATTTCTCGAGCCTCTCAAATCCATCTGTTCCTTCCATTGCTGTGGCTATCACCCAGGCCACCATCATCTCTCACCTGGCCTCAGTGTCTCTCTTGTCTATTCTCCTGGCTGCCAGGGTGAACTCTTAAACTACACTCACATTGTTTTCCTCCCCTGCTTGGAATTTGCTTCTTGGTGCCCGCTACTTGTGGAATGGAGTGCGTGGTCTCCCTTTCCTCCTACTCGTTGCCTCTGCTATGTCCCCCGTGTTTCTAGTCAGCTCCAGCCTCCAGGGACCTCTCCTCTAATGACAGTAGTGCCCCATGGGAGAACCGAGCACCTCTTCAGTGCCCCAAACCCAGTGCTATTAGAGTGGACATTATTTGCTCGAATGTCCCTTTCCTAGGCAGTGCGTACCAGGAGTGGGGGGGGCTGGCTCTGCTTTTTCTTGCGTCCCAAGAGCATAGCTCACAGGAGGCATGCTGTAAATGTTTCCTGCACGTGGCCACTGCTTTGATTCCCTTTCTTCTTCACCACAGCCCTACAGATACACTACAGTTATTATTACTGTTTTATAAATAGGGCAGGAACCTCGAGAAGGGAGGCGACATTGTAAGGTCATGCAGCCACATGGGGCAAATGGGATTCATACAGCCTTCCAGACCAATACCCCTAAGGGGGTGGCTGCGCTGTGGGGCTGCTGACAAGGGGCCTGGCATGTTCAGGGAGCCCC